TTTTTGAAACCTTGTGAAGACTTACAGAAAACGTTTGACCTGTGTCATTGCCAACAAAGGGTATATAACAAAGTATTGAGAAACTTTTGTTATTGACCAAATACTTATTTTCCAACACAATTTGCAAATAAATTCATAAAAAATCCTACAATGTGATTTTCTGGATTTTTTTCCCCTAATTTTGTCTGTCATAGTTGACGTGTACCTATGATGAAAATTACAGGCCTCTCTCATCTTTTTAAGTGGGAGAACTTGCACAATTGGTGGCTGACTAAATACTTTTTTTCCCCACTGTATGTGACATAGATATTACTCCGAAACATTTATTCCAGTGCCAAAATTTACTAAAAAGTGCACGTAGGTTGGGTAAGTCCGTATAGTCCAAAACTGATTTGATTTCGACAATGATCACTTGCCCACTAACACAGGATACACAGCTGAGATGATTGCACTCTAAAGAGTCCTACTGCAAAACAGACAGACAGACCGTGGCAGGGGGCGTAACAGAGGGCGTGGCAGGGGGCGTAACAGAGGGCGTGGCAGGGGGCGTAACAGAGGGCGTGGCAGGGGGCGTAACAGACGGCGTGGCAGGGGGCGTAACAGAGGGCGTGGCAAGGGGCGTAACAGACGGTGTGGCAGGGGACGTAACAGACAGACAGACCGTGGCAGGGGGCGTAACAGAGGGCGTGGCAGGGTCGTAACAGAGGGTGTGGCAGAGGGCGTGGCAGGGGGGCGTAACAGACGGCGTGGCAGGGTCGTGGCAGAGGGCGTGGCAGGGGGCGTGGCAGGGGGCGTGGCAGGGGGCGTGGCAGAGGACATGACATGGGGCCTCCATCTTGGTGGTGTCGAATAATTGTAGCATTTTTAAGCACATTTCTTCCAATTCTACACATTTTGCCATGCAGCTGAGAGAAAATGTTGCAGTTTCAAAGCCATGGCTAATGCAGTGTTCTTTTGTTCAAACATAACGAATTCAATACTGCTAAATTCATTGTTTTTGGAATGTTTTATTCTCCCTGATTGTCAAGCGTTTATTTTGGTGATTGTTAGTTCTTAAAGATTATATTATTTAAAAAAAAGAAATAAGTCCATTATCGATCTACATACTTTATATCTGGTTTTAGTGGTTTAAGTTTACACTGAGAACGCTTTCTTTTCTTATTCAGTTTACACTGAGAACGCTTTCTTTTCTTATTCACTGTTTGGACTTAGGCAGGATTTCAATGGCAGAAAAATCCCTGCATAAAGACAACACGTCACCATTTAGTTTTTACTTGAGACATACTGCTGCACCAAACATTTCAGCTAGATGTAAAATTGTGTGAGTAAAACCTCCTCTGCAAAAAAAAAACGGCAAAATTAATTACAGATTTCTTGAGTTATCTTAAATTCATTCGGACTATTTTCAGGAAGTGATAATGGCTTTTTCATATGGTGTCTCATGGGGGGACAAACATTAGTAATCGCCACATCGATTCACCTAAATCTCATTTTTCTTTAAAAGAGCAACAGAGAAACGCATGTGAAATCTGTGCGTTCAGACGCTCCATAAGCTGAATCCAGACATAACAAAACAAATTTAATTCTTTTGATAGCTACTGTCGTTCTCTTCCTTTATAATTAGCAGAAGAGGACCGTGTCCTACTGTTTCTGTTCAAGTACAAAACAGAACACAACAAGGGTCTGAATCAAAGCTCAGCATGGCTCTGTCTGCACAGAAACCACCACAGGCTATCGACCAACACTTACTCATATTTTAGGCTCAACAAGACAGGAGTCTAGTAAACTGAGGAGTGACAAAGCTACGGGAATGAAGCTGCAGCAGCAACCAGCCATGTGATGGACGAGTGGACACGGGACAGCCAGGAGCAGAGAGCTGCTAAAGCAGAGAGGAAGGACAGAGCTCACGGCGGTCACAAGACCACAGCTCTGCAGTTGACTGACTGAACAGATAGACGGAGAGACAGAGAGGACGTACCACAGCATGCGCTTGGAATAGAGTAAAGGCCGTCAAGCTTCGAGTACTCAGAGCCATCCCTGCTGCGGGCACTGGCTGAGACATGAAAAGGAGGGGTACAGAAACGGTACTAAAGGGAGGCACAGAGGGTAGAGAGGGGGGCAGTAGAGCAGAGCTCAGCCAGGGTCCAGGAGGGGAGCTCAGCCAGGGTCCAGGAGGGAAGCTGCCCGTCTACACCAGGTTAACAGTGGTTAAAGAGGGTCAACTACCTAATGAAGCTAGCTAGCAGACTCACAGCCGCAACTCTTTAGCTGACAGGGAATGCCTGTAGTATTATGTCATTACGTTTAGGCAACATGAGTATCAAGAGTGAAAATATATATATTTTAATATTTCAAATGTAAAAATGCTATTATCGCATAGATACTGAGTACTGGCACATTCCTTGTGTTCTCTGCTTGTTCTAGGACTTCTCAATTACTACTGATCATGTAATAATTGGATGTTTAGTTTATGAATACAGTACTGACTGATATCAGATGGGTCTATTATTGCTTGGAAACACCTTGAGCATCATAGCCTGTCAGCTGAAGAGTTCCACATATAGAGACACATCCTAAGGATATCACCACTAGGGTTGCAATATTCCAGAAACAATTACGGAAACTTTCCCTAAATAAGCTTTACCAGAAATCCTGGTCTGAAGATTACCAGTTGGAGGATTCCCTTCCTCCAACCAGGATTTCCGGAAAAGCTGGGAATTTTAGTAAAGTTTCCGTAATTGTGCAACCCCCCCCCCCCCCCCCCCCATCAACAACACAGTCTACTAGCCCAGCCCCAGGGGGAGAGAACCACCTACCCAGAGCCAGAGATGTCCTCCTCCTCCCCTTCCTCCTGCTCCTCATCGTAAGACTCCAGCTTCACTCCCTCCGCTCTGAGGCCAGCAAATGAAGGGCCCTCTTCTTCATCAGAGCCGTGCTTGTGATGGTCGTCTCCTTCCTCTTCATCAACACCGTCACCATCTCTCTCAGCCTTCTGCTGCTCAGCCTTCGGAGGTTCTATCTCTGGTTTGTTCCTGGTTAACTCAGTCTCCTCCTCCTGTGGGGTGATATGATGTCCTTACTTCACATCCTGTTTGTCAATCATTTAACTACATCATCATCCTGTTTATCAATCTTACTACATCATAATCCTGTTTATTCATCTTACTACATCATAATCCTGTTTATCAATCATTTTACTACATCATAATCCTATTTATTAATCTTAATACATCATAATCCTGTTTATCAATCATTTTACTACATCATAATCCTATTTATTAATCTTAATACATCATAATCCTGTTTATCAATAATTTTACTACATCATAATCCTGTTTATCAATCATTTTGCTACATCATAATCCTGTTTATCAATAATTTTACTACATCATAATCCTGTTTATCAATCATTTTGCTACATCATAATCCTGTTTATCAATAATTTTACTGCATCATAATCCTGTTTATTAATCTTAATACATCATAATCCTGTTTATCAATCATTTTACTACATCATAATCCTGTTTATCAATCTTACTGCATCATAATCCTGTTTATTAATCTTACTACATCATAATCCTGTTTATTAATCTTACTACATCATAATCCTGTTTATCAATCATTTTACTACATCATAATCCTGTTTGTCAATCATTTTACTACATCATAATCCCATTTATTAATCTTAATACATCATAATCCTGTTTATCAATATTTTTACTGCATCATAATCCTGTTTTTTAATCTTAATACATCATAATCCTGTTTATCAATAATTTTACTACATCATAATCCTATTTATTAATCTTAATACATCATAATCCTGTTTATCAATAATTTTACTACATCATAATCCTATTTATTAATCTTAATACATCATAATCCTGTTTATCAATAATTTTACTACATCATAATCCTATTTATTAATCTTAATACATCATAATCCTGTTTCTCAATCATTTTACTACATCATGTCCTATATCTAAAGTCCATTGTACGAGCAATGACCTTGATGCCAAAGATGCTCTTGATGCTGAAGATGATCTTGATGCTAAATATTATCTTGATGTTGTTGGGAAACTCAGCTTGGCTGGGTGCTTATGCCGACAGAGCGAGTGAAAGAGTAAATGACCTTGCAGACGATGGGCTGAGCGCTGCCGGTCTCCGAGCAACACAGGTTCTCTCTCTCAGAGTTGCAGGCTTTCGGTTTCTGCTCCTCTGTTGAGCTGGAAGAGGCTAAAGGGGGGACTGTAGTGGCCCCCCCTGCCCCCCCTGTCTCCCCCTCTGCCTTGGGCTGCTTCAGGGGGAGGTCCATGTGGAAAGTGATGGAGCAGGAGGTGCAGAACTCCTCAAACCCATAGAGGTACCTGAGGAGAATACAAGAACCGGACCAGCGCCTGACGATTACATCAATATCAAAGCACCACAACACACCAGACAAAGCCTGATCATTACATCAATATCAAAGCACCACAACACACCAGGCAAAGCCTGATCATTACATCAATATCAAAGCACCACAGCTACTCAAGAGAGGTCCCCCTAAAAGGTATCATTATCAGTGGTAAACAGATAATCAATGGGCTCTCACTACGTACTTGCGGTAAGCACATTTGACATTGTAGCCGGCGGCAGAGTTGAGAACAGGGATTCCCAGAGCTTGGTAGACAGTCTTCCATACGGACCCACTCTCAATCTGCTCCAAACACGAGAGGACAGGACACAGAGTGAAACAGGGAATAAGAGACAGATGTTGGTCAGTGTGAGACAATATGTCTGACTAGAAGATGCACTAAAAACAAAGGCTTGTGAAATCTAAATGGAACTACAGCACGTCAATACATCACAGGGAACTACAGCAGGTCGATACATCACAGGGAACTACAGCAGGTCAATACATCACAGGGAACTACAGCAGGTCAATACATAATAATAATAATAATAATAATAATACATCACAGGGAACTACAGCACGTCAATACATCACAGGGAACTACAGCACGTCAATACATCACAGGGAACTACAGCAGGTCAATACATCACAGGGAACTACAGCAGGTCAATACATCACAGGGAACTACAGCAGGTCAATACATCACAGGCCCCAATTAGAAGTGAGGGTTAAGATGATGTGGAAATACCAATGAACGTCATGATAAGTGTGTGTGTGTGTGTGTGTGTGTGTGTGTGTGTGTGTGTGTGTGTGTGTGTGTGTGTGTGTGTGTGTGTGTGTGTGTGTGTGTGTGTGTGTGTGTGGGTTACTCACATCATGGAAGCCTCCCAGTTTGTGCACCAGTCTGTATAGCTTGAAGAGGTCCAGGTTCCTGTAGCCCAGTACCGGTTTCTTGTTGATGGGGGTTCCTACACAACGTAATGGTTAGTCCATGAAAACCCAATATAGTGTATCGCAGAAGTATTGCAAAACACGTTTTTATTTGTGCTTCCCATGACTTTGTTTTTGTATTATATATATATACAGTACCAGTCAAAAGTTTGGACACACCTACTCATTCAAGGGCTTTTCTTAATTTTTACTATTTTCTACATTGTAGAATAATACTGAAGACATCAAAACTATGAAATAACACATATGGAATCATGTTGTAACCAAAAAAAGTGTTAAACAAATCAAAATATATTTTAAATTTGAGATTCTTCAAAGTAGCCACCCTTTGCCTTGATGACAGCTTTGCACACTCTTGGCATTCTCTCAACCAGCTTCATTAGGAATGCTTTTCCAACAGTCTTGATGGATTTCCCACATATGCTGAGCACTTGTTGGCTGCTTTTCCTTCACTCTGCGGTCCAACTCATCCCAAACCATCTCAATTGGGTTGAGGTCGGGTGATTGTGGAGGCCAGGTCATCTGATGCAGCACTCCATCACTCTCCTTCTTGGTCAAATATCCCTTACACAGCTTGGAGGTGTGTTGGGTCATTGTCCTGTTGAAAAACAAATGATAGTCCCACTAAGCCCAAACCAGATGGGATGGTGTATCACTGCAGAATGCTGTGGTAGCCATACTGGTTAAGTGTGCCTTGAATTCTCAATAAATCACAGACAGTGTCACCAGCAAAGCACCCCCACACCATAACACCTCCTCCTCCATGCTTTACGGTGGGAACTACACATGTGGAGATCATCGGTTCACCCACACCGCGTCTCACAAAGACACAGCGGTTGGAACCAAAAATCTCCAATTTGGACTCCAGAGCAAAGGACACATTTCCACCGGTCTAATGTCCATTGCTCGTGTTTCTTGGCCCAAGCAGGTCTCTTCTTCTTATTGGTGTCCTTTAGTAGTGGTTTCTTTGCAGCAATTCGACGATGAAGGCCTGATTCACACAGTCTCTGAACAGTTGATGTTGAGATGTGTCTGTTACTTGAACTCTGTGAAGCATTTATTTGGGCTGCAATATGAGGTGCAGTTAACTCTAATGAACTTATCGCCTGCAGCAGAGGTAACTCTGGGTCTTCCTTTCCTGTGGCGGTCCTCATGAGAGCCAGTTTCATCATAGCGCTTGATGGTTTTTGCGACTGCACTTGAAGAAACTTTCAAAGTTCTTCACATTTTCCATATTGACTGACCTTCATGTCTTAAAGTAATGATGGACTGTCGTTTCTCTTTGATTATTTGAGCTGTTCTTGCCATAATATGGATGGTCTTTTACCAAATAGGCTATCTTCTGTATACCCCCCCTACCTTGACACAACACAACTGATTGGCTCAAACACATTAAGAAGGAACGAAATTCCACAAATTAACAAGGCACACCTGTTCATTTAAATGCATTCCAGGTGACTACCTCATGAAGCTGGTTGAGAGAATGCCAAGAGTGTGCAAAGCTGTCATCAAGGCAAAGGGTGGCTACTATATTTTGAATTGTTTAACACTTTTTTGGTTACTACATGATTCCATATGTGTTATTTCATAGTTTTGATGTCTTCACTATTATTCTACAACGTAGAAAATATTAAAAATAAAGAAAAACCTTTGAATGAGTAGGTGTGTCCAAACTTTTGACTTGTACTGTATATATATATATATATATATATATATATATGTATCTCTTTTGTGGGTATAATGCGTATATTTATGTTGTATTATACAGGGCACATTTGAAAAAGACACCTATGTCTCAATGTCTTCCTGTTAAAATAAAGGTTCCATCAAATAAAAACATCCAGTTACTGTCAGGCAGAGAAGGCTGTTGGGGGGAAGCTATAGGATGACGGACTCATTGTAATGGCTGGCTGTTGCGGGGAAGCTATAGGATGACGGACTCATTGTAATGGCTGGCTGTTGGGGGGAAGCTATAGGATGACGGACTCATTGTAATGGCTGGCTGTTGGGGGGAAGCTATAGGATGACGGACTCATTGTAATGGCTGGCTGTTGGGGGGAAGCTATAGGATGACGGACTCATTGGAATGGCTGGCTATTGGGGGGAAGCTATAGGATGACGGACTCATTGGAATGGCTGGCTGTTGGGGGGAAGCTATAGGATGACGGACTCATTGTAATGGCTGGCTGTTGGGGGGAAGCTATAGGATGACGGACTCATTGTAATGGCTGGCTGTTGGGGGGAAGCTATAGGACGACGGACTCATTGGAATGGCTGGCTGTTGGGGGGAAGCTATAGGATGACGGACTCATTGTAATGGCTGGCTGTTGGGGGGAAGCTATAGGATGACGGACTCATTGTAATGGCTGGCTGTTGGGGGGAAGCTATAGGATGACGGACTCATTGTAATGGCTGGCTGTTGGGGGGAAGCTATAGGATGACGGACTCATTGTAATGGCTGGCTGTTGGGGGGAAGCTATAGGATGACGGACTCATTGTAATGGCTGGCTGTTGGGGGGAAGCTATAGGATGACGGACTCATTGTAATGGCTGGCTGTTGCGGGGAAGCTATAGGATGACGGACTCATTGTAATGGCTGGCTGTTGGGGGGAAGCTATAGGATGACGGACTCATTGTAATGGCTGGCTGTTGGGGGGAAGCTATAGGATGACGGACTCATTGTAATGGCTGGCTGTTGCGGGGAAGCTATAGGACGACGGACTCATTGTAATGGCTGGCGGTTGGGGGGGAAGCTATAGGATGACGGACTCATTGTAATGGCTGGCTGTTGGGGGGAAGCTATAGGATGACGGACTCATTGTAATGGCTGGCTGTTGCGGGGAAGCTATAGGATGACGGACTCATTGTAATGGCTGGCTGTTGGGGGGAAGCTATAGGATGACGGACTCATTGTAATGGCTGGCTGTTGGGGGGAAGCTATAGGATGACGGACTCATTGTAATGGCTGGCTGTTGGGGGGAAGCTATAGGATGACGGACTCATTGTAATGGCTGGCTGTTGGGGGGAAGCTATAGGATGACGGACTCATTGTAATGGCTGGCTGTTGGGGGGAAGCTATAGGATGACGGACTCATTGTAATGGCTGGCTGTTGGGGGGAAGCTATAGGATGACGGACTCATTGTAATGGCTGGCTGTTGCGGGGAAGCTATAGGATGACGGACTCATTGTAATGGCTGGCTGTTGGGGGGAAGCTATAGGATGACGGACTCATTGTAATGGCTGGCTGTTGGGGGGAAGCTATAGGATGACGGACTCATTGTAATGGCTGGCTGTTGGGGGGAAGCTATAGGATGACGGACTCATTGTAATGGCTGGCTGTTGGGGGGAAGCTATAGGATGACGGACTCATTGTAATGGCTGGCTGTTGGGGGGAAGCTATAGGATGACGGACTCATTGTAATGGCTGGCTGTTGGGGGGAAGCTATAGGATGACGGACTCATTGTAATGGCTGGCTGTTGGGGGGGAAGCTATAGGATGACGGACTCATTGTAATGGCTGGCTGTTGCGGGGAAGCTATAGGATGACGGACTCATTGTAATGGCTGGCTGTTGGGGGGAAGCTATAGGATGACGGACTCATTGTAATGGCTGGCTGTTGGGGGGAAGCTATAGGATGACGGACTCATTGTAATGGCTGGCTGTTGCGGGGAAGCTATAGGATGACGGACTCATTGTAATGGCTGACTGTTGGGGGGAAGCTATAGGATGACGGACTCATTGTAATGGCTGGCTGTTGGGGGGAAGCTATAGGATGACGGACTCATTGTAATGGCTGGCTGTTGGGGGGAAGCTATAGGATGACGGACTCATTGTAATGGCTGGAATGTAACGGTTTTCATGTTTGATGTGTCTTCAGTCCCATTTATTCCATTACAGCCATTCTTCCTATAGCTCCACCCACTAGCTTCCTCTGCTGTCAGGTGCACTGTGGGTACATAAAGTTTAATGGGCTGAAATGTTCCATTCTATAAACTGCAGACCTCTGTCCTCCATGAACTTGTACAGCTGCTGCAGGAAGTTGTCTCTCTCCTCCGGGAACGGCTCCACTTCCTCCTGCACACAGGAACAGGAAATAACAATACAGAGCTCAGCTTGGCTCCTCCCACTGAGAGAGGTGTGTCATACCCTGGAATTTTTACAAATATTTGACTGATTTAGATTCCTTCCAATAGCATTTACATACAGTGTGGAAGGAAAGGGTCCTAGAATTTAACCTTGGGGGACCCCTTTTCTCGTAAGCTGTCGAAACTGATATTATGCCCACATCTCTCTAATGGCTTAAACTCAAAGGACATCTCTCTAATGGCTTAAACTCAAAGGACATCTCTCTAATGGCTTAAACTCACCAAAGGTGAGTGTGCGAGGTGTGTGTGATTTATTTTAGAATGCATTGTTTTGAATTATAATGACCCAACCCAAGCCGGGCGGGTTGTCTGCTTTGATGCCTCGCTCAATTAGAGCGTCTCTATTTTAGCAATTTAAATCGCTGGCATAGTCACACAAAACAATAGAAATGTTGTCATTATTCATTCTTTTTCAAGCTCATTTGAATTGGAAGAGGTAGCTAAGGGTTGAGGCTTTACCATACATGCTAAATTAGACCAATTCATCCACTTATGGAAACACAACATCGCTATCAGCAAAGATGATTGGAGATATGGACTGTCCTGCTAGCGTAGAGTCACCGCTCTGTCTCTCCGGTCCTTTCCTCCCGCCTCGCTCTGCTTGCTCCGCCCGCCCCCCTTCTGGTGAGGTTTTCCCTTTACTCGGCAGCCAGCAGGTAATATGACATGATTACCTCTTCCTCCTCTTCGCTGGCCTCTTCCTCATGCTCTTCCTCCTCCTCCTCATCTTCCTCACTGGTGGAACTCTCATCTTTCACCTCTGTCCTCCAAGAGCCGGGCACCACCGCCTGATGCACAAACTCCACGGCCGCATCCAGCGCTGACACACACAAACGGACACACGGACACACACACACACACACACACACACACACACACACACAGCACACACAGCACACACACACAGCCAAGCGGACAGTCCACACACACACGGACACACACACACACGGAGACAGACACACAAACGCATTATGAGGGCCACTTATCTATATAACACACTGTGAGTACTAAGACGGTAACCAAAATAACTTGTCTTTCTTAGCCAATGACTGTATATATGAATAGACATCGATCACGTGACACCATTCATTTCTCTGTGAAGACTCAACACTGAAGCCAAATGAAAAGATGGCATTTAATGGAGACATAACATGCGCAGTTTGAGCTACTCCAGGAAGTGACGTTGCAGGCTAGCTCAGTGCTGCCCCCTCTCATTGAGTAACTCCAGTTGAAGGCCGACCGGGGTACTGCAGGCTGCCATTAAATTTACATTTTAGTCATTTAGCAGATGCTCTTATCCAGAGCGACTTACAGTTAGTGCATTTGGTTACTACATGATTCCATAGCTAGGTGAGATGACACATCACAATCGTATCAAGTACATTTTTCCCTCAACAAAATATATACAGTGCATTCGGAAAGTATTGAGACCCCTTCACTGTTTCCACATTTTGTTACGTTAAAGCCTTGTTCTAAAATGGATTAAACTAAATGTTTTCCTCATCAATCTACACACAATAACCCATAATGACAAAGCGAAAACATGTTTTTCGAAATGTTTGCTAAAAAAAAAAATTTTTTACACAGAAATACGTTATTTACATAAGTATTCAGACCCTTTGCTATGAGCCTCGAAATTGAGCTCGGGTGCATCCTGTTTCCATTGATCATCCCTGAGATGTTTCTACAACTTGATTGAAGTCCACCTGTGGTAAATTCAATTGATTGGACATGATGGTCACTCTGACAGAGCTCCAGAGTTCCTCTGTGGAGATGGGAGAACCTTCCAGAAGGACAACCATCTCTGCAGCACTCCACCAATCAGGCCTTTATGGTAGAGTGGCCAGACGGAAGCCACTCTTCAGTAAAAGGCACATGACAGCCCACTTGAAGTTTGCCAAAAGGCACCTAAAGACTCTCAGACCATGAGAAACAAGATTCTCTGGTCTGATGAAACCAAGATTGAACTCTTTGGCCTGAATGCCAAGTGTCACGTCTGGAGGAAACCTGGCACCATCCCTACGGTGGAGCTTGGTGGTGGCAGCTTCATGCTGTGGGGATGTTTTTCAGCGGCACAGAGAGATACAGAGTGATCTGAGCACTCTGGAGCAGGTTCTCAGACTGGGGCGAAGGTTCACCTTCCAACAGGACAACGACCCTAAGCACACAGCCAAGACAATGCATGAGTTGCTTCAGGACAAGTCTCTGAATGTCCTTGAGTGGCCCAGCCAGAGCCCGGACTTAAACCCGATCGAACATCTCTGGAGAGACCTGAAAATAGCTGTGTAGCGACACTCCCCATCCAACCTGACAGAGCTTGAGAGGATCTGCAGAGAAGAATGGGAGAAACTCCCCAAATACAGGTGTGCCAAGCTTGTAGCGTCATACCCAAGAAGACTCGAGGCTGTAATCACTGCCAAAGGTGCTTCAACAATGTACTGAGTAAAGGGTCTGAATACTTATGTAAATGTAATATCAGTTTTTTATTTTTATAAAATTTGCAAACATTCCCCAAAATAAGTTTCACTTTGTCATTATGGGGTATTGTGTGTAGATTGTTGGTAAAAAAATAAAAAAATAAAAAATCAATTTCAGAATAAGGCTGTAACGTAACAAAATGTGGAAAAGGTCAAGGGGTCTGAATACTTTTTGAATGCACGGTGTGTGATATATACAATACCAGTCAAAAGTTTGGACACACCTAAAATAATAAATAATATGCCATTTAGCAGACGCTTTTATCCAAAGCGACTTACAGTCATGCGTGCATACATTTTTACGTATGGGTGGTCCCGGGGATCGAACCCACTACCTTGGCGTTACAAGCGCCGTGCTCTACCAGCTGAGCTACAGAGGACCACACACTTCGTGCAGCACTTTGATTTGATGTCTTCACTATTATTCTACAATGTAGAAAATAGTAAAAATAAAGAAAAACCCTTGAATGAGTAGGTGTGTCCAAACTTTTGACCGGTAGTGTACATACAAAAGTATGTGGAACACATTAATGCCCATGATTTTGGAATGAGATGTTCGACGAGCAGGTGTCCACATACTTTTGGTCATGTAGTGTGTATGAATGAGAGAAAGAGGATATATACAGTTGAAGTCAGAAGTTTACATGCACTTAGGTTGGAGTCATTAAAACCACTCCACAAATGTCTTGTTAACAAACTATAGATTTGGCAAGTCGGTTAGGACATCTACTTTGTGCATGACACAAGTAATTTTTCCAACAATTCTTTACAGACAGATTATTTCACTTATAATTCACTGTATCACAATTCCAGTGGGTCAGAAGTTTTACATACACTAAGTTGACTGTGCCTTTAAACAGCTCTGACAATTCCAGAAAATGATGTCATGGCATTAGAAGCTTCTGATAGGCTAATTGACATCATTTGAGTCAATTGGAGGTGTACCTGTGGATGTATTTCAAGGCCTACCTTCAAACTCAGTGCCTCTTTGCTTGACATCATGGGAAAATCAAAAGAAATCAGCAAAGACCTCAGAAAAAAAATGGTAGACCTCCACAAGTCTGGTTCATCCTTGGGAGCAATTTCCAAACGCCTGAAGATACCACGTTCATCTGTACAAACAATAGTACGCAACTATAAACACCATGGGACCACGCAGCCGTCATACCGCTCAGGTCATACCGCTCAGGAAGGAGACGCGTTCTGTCTCCTAGAGATTAACGTACTTTGGTGCGAAAAGTGCAAATCAATCCCAGAACAACAGCAAAGGACCAAGTGAAGATGCTGGAGGAAACAGGTACAAAATTATCTATATCCACAGTAAAGAGTCCTATATCGACATAACCTGAAACGCCGCTCAGCAAGGAAGAAGCCACTGCTCCAAAACCGCCATAAAAAAGCCAGACTACGGTTTGCAACTGCACATGGGGACAAAGATCGTACTTTTTGGAGAAATGTCCTCTGGTCTGATGAAACAAAAATAGAACTGTTTTTCCATAATGACCATCGTTATGTTTGGAGGAAAAAGGGGAAGGCTTGCAAGCCGAAGAACACCATCCCAACCGTGAAGCACGGGGGTGGCAGCATCATGCTGTGGGGGTGCTTTGCTGCAAGACGGACTGGTGCACTTCACAAAATAGATGGCATCATGAGGAAGGAAAATGATGTGTATATATTGAAGCAACATCTCAAGACATCAGTCAGGAAGTTAAAGCTTGGTCGCAAATGGGTCTTCCAAATGGACAATGACCCCAAGAATACTTCCAAAGTTGTGGCAAAATGGCTTAAGGACAACAGAGTCAAGGTATTTGAGTGGCCATCACTCCTATTAAAAATTTTGGGCAGAACTGAAAAAGCGTGTGCGAGCAAGGAGGCCTACAAACCTGACTCAGTTACACCAGCTCTGTCAGGAGGAATGGGCCAAAATTCACCCAACTTATTGTGGGAAGCTTGTGGAAGGGAACCCGAAACGTTTGACCCAAGTTAAGCAATTTAAAGGCAATGCTACCAAATACTAATTGAGTGTATATAAACTTCTGACCCACTGGAAATGTGATGAAAGAAATAAAAGCTGAAATAAATCATTCTCTTTTCTATTATTCTGACATTTCACATTCTTAAAATTTTACATTTTAGTCATTTAGCAGACGCTCTTATCCAGAGCGACTTACAGTTTAGTGAGTGCATACATTTTTCATAAAATAAAGTGGTGATCCTAACTGACCTAAAACAGGGAATTTTTACTAGGATTAAATGTCAGGAATTGTGAAAAACTGAGTTTAAATGGATTTGGCTAAGGTGTATGTAAACTTCCGACTTCAACTGTATATATAGATAAACATATACACTGAACAAAAATATAAACGCAACATATAAAGTGTTGGTCCCATGTTTCATGAGCTGAAATAAAAGATCCCAGAAATGTTCCATACGCACAAAAAGCTTATTTCTCTCAAATGTTGTGCACAAATTTGCTTACATCTCTGTTAGTGAGCATTTCTCCTTTGTCAAGATAATCCATCCACCTGACAGGTGCGGCATATCAAGAAGCTGATTAAACAGCATGATCATTACACAGGTGCACCTTGTGCTGGGGACAATAAAAGGCCACTCTAAAATGTGCAGTTTTGTCACACAACGCAATGCCACAGATGTCTCAAGTTTTGAGGGAGCATGCAATTGGCATGCTGACTGCAGGAGGGAGGGAGGGGGAGAGAGAGAGAGAGAGAGAGAGAGAGAGAGAGAGTCTTCCCCCCAGCTGTCTCTTTCTTCCCCCCAGATGTCTCTTTCTTCCCCCCAGATGTCTCTTTCTTCCCCCCAGATGTCTCTTTCTTCCCCCCAGATGTCTCTTTCTTCCCCCCAGATGTGTCTCTTTCTTCCCCCCAGATGTGTCTCTTTCTTCCCCCCAGCTGTCTCTTTCTTCCCCCCAGATGTCTCTGCCAGGTCTGACAGAAGAGACATAAGATCCTGTCCTGTATTCACAAAGGCTGAATTTACACAGGCAGCCCAATTATTGGTAAAAGATCTGATCTCATTGGCCAAAAGACCAATTAGTGGCAAAAGATCAGAATTGGATCGCCTGTGTAAACGCAGCCGATGCATCTCAGGCATCGCAGTGCTGATCTACAATCAGTTTGGCCTTTTAGATAATGAACAAGATGACATGGAAAGGGGGGTATTTTGAACAATAAACCTGGATTATCACAGCTACTCTGGGACACTGTGAATACGGACCCTAATATAGTACAACATTTCATAATAAAAGCCATTTAAGCGGACGCTTTTATCCAAAGCGAGTTATAGTCATGCGTGCATAAATGTTATGTATAGGTGGCCGCAGCAGAAATCGAACCCACAACCCTTGGCGTTGCAAGCGCCATGCTCTACCGACTGAGCCTCACGTGGTCCCAGTCTGTACGCTGGAAGACCTCCTCCTCGGCGCAGACAGCGTTAACTCACCTGGCTTGAGCCCTGCGTCAGCTTTAGGAGGAGAGTCTGTGTTCATCACCGTCACGTCCTTCCTCAGCACCGTGTTACTGAAACAGACAGACAACCCCCATCAGTATCCACACAACCCCCATCAGTATCCCACACAACCCCCATCAGTATCCACACAACCCCCTTCAGTATCCACACAACCCCCATCAGTATCCACACACAACACCCATCAGTATCCACACACAACCCCATCAGTATCCACACACAACCCCCCATCAATATCCACACACAACCCCCATCAATATCCACACACAACACCCATCAGTATCCACACACAACACCCATCAGTATCCACACACACAACCCATCAGTATCCACACACAACACCCATCAGTATCCCACACCACCCCCATCAGTATCCACATAAACCCCCATCAGTATCCACACACAACACCCATCAGTATCCACACACAACCCCCCATCAGTATCCACACACAACCCCCATCAGTATCCACACAACCCCCATCAGTATCCACACACCCCCCATCAGTATCCACACAACCCCCATCAGTATCCACACACAACCCCCATCAGTATCCACACAACCCCCCATCAGTATCCACACACAACCCCCCATCAGTATCCACAACACAACCCCCCCCATCCCAGTATCCACCCCCATCAGTATCCACACCAACCCCCATCAGTATCCACACACCAACCCCCATCAGTATCCACACACAACCCCCATCAGTATCCACACAACCCCCATCAGTATCCACACAACCCCCATCAGTATCCCACACACAACCCCCATCAGTATCCACACACAAAACCCCCATCAGTTATCCACACACAACCCCCATCAGTATCCACACCAACACCCATCAGTATCCACACACAACACCCATCAGTATCCACACACAAACACCCCATCAGTATCCACACAAAACCCATCAGTATCCACAAACCCCCATCATACACCCCCATCCAGTATCCACAACAACACCCATCAGTATCCACACACAACCCCCATCAGTATCCACACAACACCCATCAGTATCCACACAAACACCCATCAGTATCCACACAACACCCATCAGTATCCACACACAACACCCATCAGTATCCACACACACAACACCCATCAGTATCCACACAAACACCCATCAGTATCCACACACAACCCCCATCAGTATCCACACACAAAACCCATCAGTATCCACACACAACCCCCATCAGTATCCACACACAACCCCCATCAGTATCCACACACAACACCCATCAGTATCCACACACAACACCCATTAGTATCCACACACACAACACCCATCAGTATCCACACACAAACTAAAAGTGTCACATTTAACCGTTTGCCCAGAGAACTCTGACTCTGAACAGCTAGAGGGGGTTTTGTTAGGGGGGTATGGAAATACCATTTAGAGGGGGTTTTGTTAGTTGGGATGGAAATACAATTTAGAGGGGGTTTGGTTAGGGGAGATGGAAATACAATTTAGAATGGGTTTGGTTAGGGGGGATGAAAATACCATTTAGAGGGGTTTGGTTAGGGGGGATGGAAATACCATTTAGAGGGGGTTTGGTTAGGGGGGATGGAAATACAATTTAGAGGGGGTTTGGTTAGGGGGGATGGAAATACCATTTAGAGGGGGTTTGGTTAGGGGGGATGGAAATACCATTTAGTGGGGGTTTGGTTAGGGGGGATGGAAATACCATTTAGAGGGGGTTTGGTTAGGGGGGATGGAAATACCATTTAGAGGGGGTTTGGTTGGGGGGGATGGAAATACAATTCAGAGTTTTTTTTTTGTTGTTGCGGGGATAGAAATACCATTTAGTCTTATAGACATGTTTAATATGCATTAATCTGTTACTGGTATATTCTACTAGCATTGATCTGTTACTGGTATGTTCTACTAGTATTGATCTGGTTCTGGTATGTTCTACTAGTATTGATCTGGTTCTGGTATGTTCTACTAGCATTGAACTGGTACTGGTATGTTCTACTAGTATTGACCTGGTACTGGTATGTTCTACTAGTATTGATCTGGTACTGGTATGTTCTACTAGCATTGATCTGGTACTGTTATGTTCTATTAGTATTGATTTGGTACTAGTATGTTCTACTAGTATTGATCTGATACTAGTATGTTCTACTAGTATTGATCTGGAACTGGTATATTCTACTAGTATTGATTTGGTTCTGGTATGTTCTACTAGTATTGATCTGGTTCTGGTATGTTCTACTAGTATTGATCTGGTTCTGGTATGTTCTACTAATATTGATCTGGTTCTGGTATATTCTACTAGTATTGATCTGGTACTGGTATATTCTACTAGTATTGATCTGGTACTGGTATATTCTACTAGCATTGATCTGGTTCTGGTATGTTCTACTAGTATTGATCTGGTTCTGGTATGTTCTACTAGCATTGATCTGGTTCTGGTATGTTCTACTAGTATTGATCTGGTTCTGGTATGTTCTACTAGTAATGATCTGGTTCTGGTATGTTCTACTAGTTTTTATCTGGTACTGGTATATTCTACTAGTATTATTCTGGTACTGTTCTACTAGTATTGATCTGGTTCTGGTATGTTCTACTAGTTTTGATCTGGTACTGGTATATTCTACTAGTATTGATCTGGAACTAGTATATTCTACTAGTACTGATATGGTACTGGTATGTTCTACTAGTATTGATCTGGTACTGGTATGTTCTACTAGTATTGATCTGGTACTGTTCTACTATTATTGATCTGGTTCTGGTATGTTCTACTAGTATTGATCTGGTACTGGTATGTTCTACAAGTATTGATCTGGTACTGTTCTACTAGCATTGATCTGGTTCTGGTATGTTCTACTAGTATTGATCTGGTACTAGTATATTCTACTAGTATTGATCTGGTTCTGGTATATTCTACTAGTATTGATCTTGTTCTGGTATGTTCTACTAGTTTTGATCTGGTACTGGTATATTCTACTAGTATTAATCTGGAACTGGTATATTCTACTAGTATTGATCTGGTACTGGTATGTTCTACTAGTATTGATCTGGTACTAGTATGTTCTACTAGTATTGATCTGCTTCTGGTATGTTCTACTAGTATTGATCTGGTTCTGGTATGTTCTGCTAGTATTGATCTGGTTCTGGTATGTTCTACTAGTATTGATCTGTTACTGGTATGTTCTACTAGTATTGATCTGGAACTGGTATGTTCTACTAATATTGATCTGGTACTAGTATGTTCTACAAGTATTGATCTGGTTCTGGTATGTTCTACTAGTATTGATCTGGTACTGGTATGTTCTACTAGCATTGATCTGGTACTGGTATGTTCTACTAGTATTGATCTGGTACTGGTATGTTCTACTAGTATTGATCTGGTACTGGTATGTTCTACTAGTATTGATCTGGTTCTGGTATGTTCTACTAGTATTGATCTGGTACTGGTATGATCTACTAGTATTGATCTGGTACTAGTATGTTCTACTAGTATTGATCTGATTCTGGTATGTTCTACTAGTATTGATCTGGTACTGGTATGTTGTACTAGTATTGATCTGGTACTGGTATGTTCTACTGGTATGTTCTACTAGTATTGATCTGGTACTGGTATGTTCTACTAGTATTGATCTGGTACTGGTATGTTCTACTAGCATTGATCTGGTACTGGTATATTCTACTAGTATTGATCTGGTACTGGTATGTTCTACTAGTATTGATCTGGTACTGGTATGTTCTACTAGTATTGATCTGGTACTGGTATGTTCTACTAGTATTGATCTGGTTTTGGTATGTTCTACTAGTATTGATCTGGTTCTGGTATATTCTACTAGTATTGATCTGTTACTGGTATGTTCTACTAGTATTGATCTGGTACTGGTATGTTCTACTATTATTGATCTGGTACTGGTATGTTCTACTAGTATTGATCTGTTACTGGTATGTTCTACTAGCATTGATCTGGTACTGGTATATTCTACTAGTATTGATGTTACTGGTATGTTCTACTAGCATTGATCTGTTACTGGTATGTTCTACTAGTATTGATCTGGTACTGGTATGTTCTACTAGTATTGATCTGTTCTGGTATATTCTACTAGTATTGATCTGGTTCTGGTATGTTCTACTAGTATTGATCTGGTTCTGTATGTTCTACTAGTATTGATCTGGTTCTGGTATGTTCTACTAGTATTGATCAGGTACTGTTCTACTAGTATTGATCTGGTTCTGGTATATTCTACTAGTATTGATCTGGTTCTGGTATGTTCTACTACTATTGATCTGGTACTGGTATATTCTACTAGTATTGATCTGGTTCTGGTATATTATACTAGTATTGATCTGGTACTGGTATATTCTACTAGTATTGATCTGGATCTGGTATGTTCTACTAGTATTGATCTGGTACTGGTATGTTCTACTAGTATTGATCTGGTTCTGGTATGTTCTACTAGTATTGATCTGGTACTGGTATGTTGTACTAGTATTGATCTGGTACTGGTATATTCTACTAGTATTGATCTGGTTCTGGTATGTTCTACTAGTATTGATCTGGAACTGGTATGTTCTAATAGCATTGATCTGGTACTGGTATGTTCTATTAGTATTGATTTGGTACTAGTATGTTCTACTAGTATTGATCTGATACTAGTATGTTCTACTAGTGTTGATCTGGAACTGGTATATTCTACTAGTATTGATTTGGTTCTGGTATGTTCTACTAGTATTGATCTGGTACTGGTATGTTCTACTAGTATTGATATGGTACTAGTATGTTCTACTAGTATTGATCTGGTTCTGGTATGTTCTACTAGTATTGATCTGGTACTGTTCTACTATTATTGATCTGTTTCTGGTATGTTCTACTAGTATTGATCTGGTACGTTCTACTAGTATTGATCTGGTACTGTTCTACTAGTATTGATCTTGTTCTGGTATGTTCTACTAGTTTTGATCTGGTACTGGTATATTCTACTAGTATTAATCTGGAACTGGTATATTCTACTAGTATTGATCTGGTTCTGGTATGTTCTACTAGTATTGATCTGGTTCTGGTATGTTCTGCTAGTATTGATCTGGTTCTGGTATGTTCTACTAGTATTGATCTTGTTCTGGTATGCTCTACTAGTATTGATCTGGTACTGGTATGTTCTACTAGTATTGATCTGGTACTGGTATGTTCTACTAGTATTGATCTGGTTCTGGTATGTTCTACTAGTATTGATCTGTTACTGGTATGTTCTACTAGTATTGATCTGGTACTGGTATGTTCTACTAGTATTGATCTGTTCTGGTATGTTCTACTAGTATTGATCTGGTTCTGGTATGTTCTACTAGTATTGATCTGGAACTGGTATGTTCTAATAGCATTGATCTGGTACTGGTATGTTCTATTAGTATTGATTTGGTACTAGTATGTTCTACTAGTATTGATCTGATACTAGTATGTTCTACTAGTATTGATCTGGTTCTGGTATGTTCTACTAGTATTGATCTGTTACTGGTATGTTCTACTAGTATTGATCTGGTACTGGTATGTTCTAATAGTATTGATCTGGTTCTGGTATGTTCTACTAGCATTGATCTGTTACTGGTATGTTCTACTAGTATTGATCTGGTACTGGTATGTTCTACTAGTATTGATCTGTTCTGGTATATTCTACTAGTATTGATCTGGTTCTGGTATGTTCTACTAGTATTGATCTGGAACTGGTATGTTCTAATAGCATTGATCTGGTACTGGTATGTTCTATTAGTATTGATTTGGTACTAGTATGTTCTACTAGTATTGATCTGATACTAGTATGTTCTACTAGTGTTGATCTGGAACTGGTATATTCTACTAGTATTGATTTGGTTCTGGTATGTTCTACTAGTATTGATCTGGTACTGGTATGTTCTACTAGTATTGATATGGTACTAGTATGTTCTACTAGTATTGATCTGGTTCTGGTATGTTCTACTAGTATT